AAAACATATGCGTATGGCAACGCTTCATACGTCTGGCAAAAGTGGTGTATGAAAAAGGATTCTGCGAGCACATTTAAAGGTAAAGGGACCCCTGACCATTAGGTCCAGTCGCAGACGACTCTGGGGTTGCAGCGCTCATCTCGCTTTACTGGCCAAGGGAGCCGGCATACAGCTTCCGGGTCATGTGGCCAGCAGGACTGAGCCACTTCTGGCGAACCAGAGCAGCGCACGGAAACGCCGTTTACCTTCCCGCCGGAGTGGTACCTATTTATCGACTTGGACTTTGACGTGCTTTCGAACTGCTAGGTGGGCAGGAGCAGGGACTGAGCAATGGGAGCTCACCCCGTTGCGGGGATTCGAACTGCCGACCTTCTGATCGGCAAGCCCAAGAGGCTCAGTGGTTTAGACCACAGCGCCACCCGCGTCCCTGCGAGCACATTTACTCCAGCCTAAATCCCCCAAACTCGAGTGGGGCCGTCCTCTTTGGGAGTGAATCTTAAGCCTGCAGGCGAAGGCACTCTTTTCAAGAAGTGGGGCCTTACCTGGGAGTCACAGTGCACAATAGTGGGAGTGCATGGGCATACCCACAAGTGCAAGCCTGTTTAAAAAGAAGGTCCCAATTTCTTGGGATAGCCATGTTAGGCTGCTGCAGCCAGAACAACAGGGCACCACATTTTGCCAACGTGGTGCCTGCCTAAAAGGAGCCCCAGCCCAACATCTGGAAGATACCAGGTGGGCCACGGCCGGCGTCCGCTTCCAGGACCCTTTCCATCCTGTGACAAACGGCGCTGGCCTTCAACGTGCCCCAAGTCCCTTTCCGTATTTTCGAGGGTAACCCAATCCCTGTTTACTCCAGAGAAGAAGCCACCCCCTTCCCCACCAATACTATCCTCCCTCGGCACCGAGGAGATCACTTCCGCTTGCTGTTTGTCTGCTCACAAGTAAACTTTGAGGGAGGCGCGGAAGTCGTCCTTTTGCTCCCTTTTTGCTCCCGCCCTTCCTCCCAAAGGAGCCCCGATCTTTACATATTTTAAAGCTGTCCTTGTTTTGCAAAGTGGGGAGGGGCGCCTGCGTGAACAAAGCAAGGGGCGGGGGTTCCCCCTCCCTGGAACTTCCCTTTGCCCTGGAAGGGGGGGGGGGGAGCGTTTAATGAACGGCGCATATATTTTTATTCCTTTTGTTTTGTAAGCCGCCGGGGAATTTTAATGCACTATGGGGGCAGCACACACACACAAAAACCCAACAGCAGCAGCAGCAGCTGGGGAGGGGGGAGGAAACAGGACTTTGGGGGTCCGTTCCCCCCCTCTCCAGCTGGTGGGGTGCGAGGATCACATATTCCAGTGATCGCTGTCTGCCGCCCTTTGTTTTGTAAGCCGCCCGGAGCGTCTTGCTTTGTAAGACGCGGGAGGGCGGCGCCAAAAAAAAAACGGGAAGCAAAAGGGAGGCTTTTGCGGGGACGGAAATCCCCTTTTGGATGGGGGGGGGTGGGGGAGAAAGTGGGGCACGCGGGGGAGGAAGGGGGCAAAGGGGTCTTTCTCTGAAGGCCTTTTGGGGTTCCCTCCCTGCGAGAAGCCAAGTTACAGGGGACCAGGCAGAGGGCCTTCTCGGTGGTGGCCCCCGCCCTGTGGAACTCCCTCCCACCAGATGTCAAGGAAGTAAACAACCACCAGACTTTTAGAAGACATCTGAAGGCGGGCCTGTTTAGGGGAGCTTTTAAAATAGGTTATTGTATTTTAGGGTTTTGTTGGAGTGGCAGGGGAAGCCCAGCCAGGTGGGCGGGGTATAAATAATAAATTATTATTGTAAATTATTATGATTCTCTCTCCGGGGCGGAGGGATACTGGAAGGTGCGTTGTGCCGGGATTTGGGGGGGGGGTCTTGGCTCCCCCCCCCTTCTTTCCTCTTCCCTCCTCCTCGCGCGCTCCTCTCGGACTCACCGGGACTCGGTCCGGGTACTTCTTCCGGATCTTCTCGCCCTCCGAGCGGCGCTTCTCGAAGGGGTGCTCCTCCTTGTAGACGAACTTCATGGCGGCGGCGGCGGCGGCGGCGGCGGCTGCTGAGGCGGCCGGGCGAGGAGGCGACGGAGACGGACCAGCTGACGGGGCCGCGCCACACACAGACACTCGCGCACTCTCGCGCAGGCGCACGCCTCCGCCGCCCCTCTCGCTCTCGGGCTCGCGCGCGCAGGGATACGCCGGGCGGGGCAAGCCCGGCTTCCGCCAACCGCTGCGCCCGAGGCGTAGGCGCGGCCCTGGGAGGCGGCGCCGGCGGCGCAAGCGGAGAGCGAGAATACGGAAAGCCGTTGGCGGCTGCGCTCCTGGCGCGAGCGTCCGTTAGAAGGTGGGGGGAGGAGGAGAAGCCGCGACTGAGGGAAGCTGCGCGGCCTCCGCTTTCCCCCTCCGGCAGCGAGCGAGGGCGCTAGGCCCGCGGAGGAGGCGCCCTCACAGCCCGCCTTGCGCTAGTGGCGTGGCTGTGAGGGCGCCATTTCTACGCAGGTGGCGCAGTTTGCGGCGGAGAGGGGGCAGCTGGCGCTGGCGGCGTAGCGGAAGGCGGCGGGCGCTTCAAGCCCCGTCGGCCTTTCCCAGCCCCGCAGCCGCCCGGCTGTGAGGTCCCGTCGCCGCCCAGGGGTCGGCCCCGTCGGCGAACCTCCCTCGCGGCCCCCGTTGTGGCGTCCGAGCGTTACGTCAAGTGGGATTCACGAACGCGACCGGCGCAAGCGCCGCGCCGCTGGCGTGCTGTGTTGACACCAAAACAAAGTAGTCCGCGGGGGGCGCCGTTCCTCCTCTCTCTTCCAGGAAGGGGGCACGTCGAGGGGGGTGAGAAGTGGGGCGGCCGAAGGCTCGGGCAGCCCAAGCCGGCGATGTAAAACCGGAGGGCTTTGTTTTTATTTTATTTTTAAAAAATGAGGTGCGGAAGGATCGGGAGGCGGCGGTGGCGAAGCGACACGTCATGTGACTGACGTCAGCGGAGAGGAATTGTCACGTGTACCCGCCCCGGATAACAGTTGCGGCAGGTGGGGGAGCCAGTCACGTGAAGGGCGACCAATAGGAAGAGGGGAGAGGAGAGGACAGCTTCCCTGTTGCTGCTCTGGCAGGACGCCTGGGTCCCTGCCATAGAGAATAGGGCCTTTTCTTCCTCCCCCCTCTCCCCAAATGGAAGCTTTGCAGTGCCAATAAATAGCCTTTCTCAGGGACAGGAGGATCAACCGGGATCCAGCAGGGGGCAGTTTAGCTCAGGCACAAAAACAGGATGGGTTGGGGGGAGGGGAAGAGGATGCTTTGCCTATATTTGGGGAGAAAGCTTCTCCACCCCCCACCCCCGTTTGGATACTGGCTGGTGGGGAACGAGCCCCCAGCCAAGCTTTTGAAGTGGCCCAGGGAATCTAATAATAATAATAATAATAATAATAATAATAATAATAATAATAATAATAATAATAATAATAATAATAATTTATCATTTATACCCCGCCCATCTGGCTGAGTTTCCCCAGCCACTCTGGGCGGCTTCCAATCAGGTGTTAAAAACAATACAGCATTAAATATTAAAAACTTCCCTGAACAGGGCTGCCTTCAGATGTCTTTTAAAGAGAAGATAGCTGCTTATTTCCTTCACATCTGAAGGGAGGGCGTTCCACAGGGTGGGCACCACCACCGAGAAGGCCCTCTGCCTGGTTCCCTGTAACCTCACTTCTCGCAGGGAGGGAACTGCCAGAAGGCCCTCGGTTCAGGATCTCAGTGTCCAGGATGAAAGATGGGGGTGGAGACGCTCCTTCAGGAAATGCATATGGAAATGCAAGCAATTAAATCAAACCTCCCCACCTCCTGAGAAAGCCCCCTCCCTAAAAAACCCCACTCAGAGGCAGGCAGGCCGGCCGGCTTTTTTCCTAAGAAGGTGGGTTCTACCTTTCTTCTCCCCTTCACTATCTGTGCCACTTCCTAGCAGAGGGAGGTGCAAAGAAAAGCTGAAGCGAAAAGAGGAGGAAGAGAAACTAGTTAAAGGAACCATTTCTCTGCAAGCTGCAGCCTGCTTTTCTAGAGCGCAGGAGAAAAGGAGGTGGACTAGTTACCCTAGAATACCAAAACCAGGCACCAGGGGATATCACAATTAACAGTAACATGGGAGATGGTGGCTTGGCAGACCCCATCTGCGGCAGACCCCACTTCCGTGTGTTTAGGGTAGGACACTGGCTTTCTGCGTTCTTTCAAGGATTCGCCTCCGGCAGTGTAGCCATTCACTCCTGGGCTTGCTTCTCCCTTCCCTCTCAACTCTTCACAAAGGTGCTTGGTAACTATCTGTACCATTTAATTGCATCTACTCCAAGCCCCAGGGATAAAAAGTTGCTGAAAGGTGAGGAATTGAAGGAAGAGATATAGGCACTCTCGGCAAACATCCCAGCATAGATGATTTAGCTGGAAGCCTCATTTTCTAGCTACACAGTGGGACAAGCATTTTGAGAGTTCTATTTAGAGTTCCCATGTGTGGGCTGGGGCCTCGGATTAAAAACTCAAGCCTAGTTTAAAAGCAAGTATGTTACTCTAGAGCCTTTTCTGCCTACAACTTCATTTTTAGGAAGGAAAGGTAATATCCTTTGCTCTGCTAGTGTAATTAGACGAGTAGGAAAGTATCTCTCTCCCTTCCTCAAACGTTGCAGAGCCCTGGAATGTACCACCCTGGCCCATGAGACTGAGGACAAGAGGGCATTACTTTTACCTGCAAAGAGAGGAATCTATTCTCTGCCCCCCACAAGCCCACCTTCCTCGTAACTATTTCCCGCACTGATCTATCTTACCAGCTCCAACTATAAATAACAGTGAACCCTGCTCTACCCCGATGCAGACAACACTCCCCCTGTGAAACCCCCAGCAATGTACAGGTCTGAATGTGGAAGGGAGATGAATTAAGATCTCAAAACCAGTTGCACCACAAAACCAGCCAGCCACTCAACCAATGTGATCTTCTCCGTCCCCCCCATCAGCAATAAGAACTCCTGAAAATCATTTAGGGTTGTTGGGTTGTTGTTTTTTTTCCACCTCAGTTCAAGGCTATAATATCTCATCATTCGATCCCTCCCCGCCCCCCAAAAAAGTCAAAAAGAAAATAAAACAAGGGGCAGATCGGAAGGAGTGGCCTCCTCAACACAATTCCAATGGAGGAGAAAAAGGGGAGAGACACTCCTACTTCCACAAAAAAAGGGGACAAGACTTTGGGATGGGGGGTGGTGGAGAAATTAAGCCAGGCCTGTCAATCATCTAAAAAATAGATAGCCTTAGATGAAAGGGCTTCTCTCTTTATCAAGAGCGTAAGGGGAGGGAGAAGAAATGAAAACAAAGGAAAATAAGATCTTTGTACAGGGAGCTCGGTCATTAAAATGAGAAAACGCAGCCTCGTCTCAAAGTGTCCGTCGCACTCCTCCGTGCGGCTGGCTTGTTTCACCCCCTTTCTTGTACATCTGCCCCCCCCCAAGCAGTTGGTGCCATCGTGCCAATGGCGCCAGCCCCGCTTGCTGCCCTGCAGAGTCCTGGCCAGTCCCCCGGCGGGCGGGCGGGGCGGTGGTCAGCGGCGCAGCTGGCTGGCGCAGGGAGAGGCGGGCGGGGCGCTGGCCGGCTCACTCCCAGCTCCTCCCCTCCTGGTTGGCTGAGTCCGGACACGTTCGCCAGAGTCCAAGCGACCAAGGCGGGGGGGTCACGATGGCGGGATAAGGCAGAGGTCGCGGGCCAAGCCCTGAAGAAAGGAGGAGCCACCGTCACCAAAGGCGATGCTGGTGCAGGTTTCGGCTCAGCACCGACCGCACGTCAGCTGTGAACCTGGAGGAGGAAGCGGGGGAGAGACAGAGTAAGAACCACGCAAGGCCTGCATCTTTGGCCAGGGACAGCCTGGCCCCCTCCTTTGGTAATCCTCACAGAACTCTAGCCCAATGGTTGCCATTAATTTGATTCTGAATTGATTTTAGAATGAGTTGATTTTAGAATGCTGTGTTACTTTTATTGTTGTTAGCCGCTCTGAGCCCAGCTTCGGCAGGGGAGGGTGAGATATAAATAACATTTATGATGATGATGATGATGATTTATTTTCCACGGGATTCGGTCTCGCACGTCAACCAATAAATATCGCACACACACAAAGCGACAAGCAGACTCAACAGCCTGCACAAGAGGGGAGGAGACCGCATTTGGAACACCGTGTGTGCCATTCGGGTCACCTCCGCTCGAAAACGCCATTGTAGAGTTGGAAACGGTCCAGAAAAATGCAATTGTGTTCAAATGCAATCTTCAAACCTTTGAAGATGGAAGCCAGGCCTGAATTGGAAAATGAAAAATGGAGAGATCTCCTTATCTGGAGATCATATGACACTTGGATTATAAATTTGATTCAGTTGGAAGTTGGAGCTATAGGGACATTTGGAATCTTAGGGAGAATGAAACAAGATGTGGAATACCCTATAGGCCTTACTTTCAAGTACGTAGGCCTGGCTGGAAGAAACTTGGATTCTGCAGGGCGGGAGCCCCATCAAGATTTGGTCTTGAATATTAAAGACTATCAAAGAGACTGGCAGAGGGGTCAGGAGAGAGACTTAAGAGCCTCGGACATAAGGTCACCGGGTTGATGGTTTTATTTTGAGATCTGTTGGGACTGAAACCGGGAAGGGGGGTGGGTGGAATGAAAAATGGGAAGGGTACATGATATAAGTTGCTTTTCTGTTCAATTTTATTTTATTTTTTTGTCTTATTTCTAGGAGAACTGGAAATCTGTGGAAGGGAACCTTCTTTCGACCTTAGGGAAATGCTTTAAGAATAAGCACCGTTATATAGATTTGGACGAGAATTAAGTTTGGATAAAGTTATAAAGCAGGTTATATAAAGAAAAATATGGTAAAACTTAGGCTCTGGTGATAAGGACTTGATGAACTAACAATTTGAACTGGAACATAAGGATTTGTTGAATTAAAAAGAAGCAGGTTAAAATTTATTGACAAGGATTTGCCGAATTAACAATTTGAATTGGAATACAAAAAAGGGAGGTAGGAGGAGGTCTGGGAAATAAGTTAATGGAAAATAAGTTATGGAAATTTTATGTGTTTTTAATTATTTTTATTTTTGTTAATTTTTTTCTTTTTGATTTTTTCTTATTGTATTAATATTGAAAACTTTAATAAATATCTTATAAAAAAACACACAGAAAAATGCAATTGTGGAACTCCCTGCCACAGGAGGCAGCAATGGCCACTAGCTTGGATGGCTTTAAAAGAAGAGAAGGGCTACTGATGGCTGCTAGCCAGGATGACTATACTCTCCCTTCATAGTCAGAGGCAGCAATGCTTCTGAATATCAGTTACTGGAAACCGCAGGAAGGGAAAGGGGTCTTGCGCTCGGATCCTGCTCGCTGGGGCATCTGGTTGGCCACAGTGAGAACAGGATGTTGGCTGGAGCGGTCGTTGAACAGATCCAGCAGGCTATTCTTACGTTCTTATGAAAAACACAGACGCAGGGCTCTTCTAGAACAACCCATAGAATCCCCGTTCCCTTTTCTCCTCCCAGCTCCACCCCAGAGCTTTACCTCAAGGCATCGAGCATGGGGAGCAAGTTGAGAAGTGCCGTGTCGCTGGGATCACTGAACCAGGACTTGATAGGTATTGCGTTATCTGCCGGACGCACAGAGAGAGAGAGACACACAAACACAACTGTCACTGCGCTTGAACCACACCCTAACCCCCTCTGACCAAACCTGTGCATTGGGTCGAACCACTTAAGATTGCTGGGGTGGGCATGGAGAGAGACAGAAGGGGCTCGTACGGCCAAAGAATCTTTTGCGTGCGTACACACACAAATCCCAAAGTAGAGTTTTAGCCTTGCCTTATTCCCAATGCACAAGCACTGCAGGGGACTGAACAGAGAACACTTACAACATATTCCTGCATCACAATGGTTTGAAAGAGATGACCCCTTAGGATACCTTATTTTTTAAAATTGTGAAAAAAATGTATGTATAGTTGCACCCGCAACTGTAGGTGTAATTTGTTTCAATGAATTTGGCTGCCTGGCAAAATGCTGGTTGCAAAAAGGAAGCTCCCCCTAACTGTACGTGCCCTGTTGTCGTTTAGTCATGTCCGCCTCTTCGTGACCCCCTGGACCAGAGCAGGCCAGGCCCTCCTGTCTTCCACTGCCTCCCGCACTTTGGTCAAACTCACGCTGGTAGCTTCGAGAACACTGTCCAACCATCTCGTCCTCTGTCGTCCCCTTCTCCTTGTGCCCTCCATCTTTCCCAACATCAGGGTCTTTTCCAGGGAGTCTTCTCTTCTCATGAGGTGGCCAAAGTCTTGGAGCCTCAGCTTCAGGATCTGTCCTTCCAGTGAGCACTCAGGGCTGATTTCCTTCAGAATGGAGAGATTTGATCTTCTTGCAGTCCATGGGACTCTCAAGAGTCTCCTCCAGCACCAGAATTCAAAAGCATCCATTCTTTGGCGATCAGCCTTCTTGATGGTCCAGCTCTCACTTCCATACATCACTACTGGGAAAACCATGGCTTTAACTATACGGACCTTTGTTGGCAAGGTGATGTCTCTGCTTTTTAAGATGCTACGTGCCCTAATGCGATGCAAATCCTTAAAGGCCAGAGAAGACTGGTTCTATTGGACCACATCAGATTGGCTTGCCGGATCTGCTTGAGCATAACAGACAACTCCGGAAAGCGGAAGCGGCAGGAAGACGAGAGAAGAACGCTTGCTGAATAGAAGCAGAGAACTAAGGATGCTTCAATACCATCAAATGAAATAATTTTCTCAGCTGGTGAAAATGAAGAACAAATAGCCGATGCCCAAGATGGACATGACGGAAGTTATGAATGGGCACTGGGAAAACCAAGATGGAGTGCAACACATTGGTAACACATAATGTTGCTACGCAGAGCATCAGATATGATGTTGGTCTGTGTACGACAGTTGCCATCACCGCTGCTGGTTTGATCACTGAAGAAGACGAGAGACTTTCAGATGATCGCAATAAAGTCAAGAGCCCAAGAAAAAGTGACGAAATCCCTGGGTCAGGAATTTGATTATCTCCTGTCAGAGGGGTGAAATTGACTTCATCTTCTTTGACGGCTGCCAAAATAAAACTAATGCTATGCTGAAATTGGACAATTCAGATCAGCCGTCCCCCAGAACAGAATTACCATAGTTTTCCGTGTATAAGGCAATGTTTTTTATTTATTTAAAAATAATGTTAAAAATTGGGGGTCATCTTATACACGGATAGTGCTGAGAGGTGACGGGCAATTGATTGCAGCCGTGAGCAGGAGATTTTCAGTGGTGATTTGGCAGGTCATTGGTAGCTGTGGTAAGGCCTGCTGTTGATTGGCTGCTGTTGTGGCAACTGTGTGGGCGATTGGCAGTGAGCGGGACGATTGGTGGCTTTGGCAATTGTAAGCGTCGGTCAGGTGAATGAGTGATTTTTGGCAATCCCCCCCCCCCGAAAAAAGCTCAACAACTCATGGTAATCTCCCCCCATTTTCTTAATTTGGAGTCCCCCAAAATAGGGGTCGTCTTATACATGGGGGCGTGTATGTACACGGAAAAATACGGTATTCTGTGAGAGGTGAGCCGGGTGGAAGACATCTCTACCACTTTACTCAAAGAGAGAGAAACCAGCTGAAATTATTGCTGATAATCTTGTGGATTTCATGAAGGAGGGCATTGAGCTTGCAGGCCATTGGAGGCAATTCTACAATTGTTAACACTGGCTCGGAGGGCTGTAGAGGTCAAGCGTGGCCGTAAGCTGATCTGTTTGGTTTGTGCCCTCCACGCCAGCAAGTTACCCCTGCGACACTTGATCGCAGCACTCGATGGAAGACCTTGTCTAACAAGCAAGGAAGACAGGTAAGATTGGTAAGATGCTACAGACTGCTACAGAACTTGAAATTGATCCTCCATGCACCAAACTCTCCGTTGCAGAGCCTCTTACTTCAGAGTGGCAATGTCGTAAAGGATCTGTCTACTGATCAAGTGCAGAGGTATCGGATCACACGGGCCATAAGGGCAGGGAAATGGGTCCAGTGAGCTGTTCAAGGTGGTTAACAACAGCAAACGGGCTTTGTCGCATACGGGTTTCAAAACATGGCCTTAAAGGCAGAACCCTCAGCGATTTAAGACATACATGCATTGTCTGCATGTACTACACCTGCTGATTCAACATCAGAGTAGAACACTTTTGGGTGGAAGGCCCACGCCACATTTTGTTTCAGCCATGGTGAGTTAGGCTGCAAAAGAAGGTGGATGCTGTTTGGCCAACCGTCCAGTGCTCAGCACGACATCCATTTAGCAAAATGAGAATCCAGACGCTCTTGTGCTCAGATGACCATAAGGAGATGACAGCTGGTGTCCAAACGATCGGTGACTTGAGATGTGGAGATGACGACACAGCGGGAGGCGATCTTTGTGTACATCCGAGGAAGATGCTTTCCAGAAACCCCAGCGCTTCATCCCTGTTGGAGCTGACAGACTGGTCCGACAGGCTATAGGAACCTCCTTTAACATGTAAACTCACTACAGTGGAAGTCAGTTCGCTAGCAAGCCCATGCAAATTTCACAATGGCCTTGTCATGCTCGGTCTATAGCGAAGCACGTGAAACAAGTCACAGAGTCAGCAGGTAGGGTGTAACTCATGAGGAACGTGAGGCGTGTATCAGAGGCCAAGAAGTCTGTGGCTGATGTCCAGGGATGCAACGTCTTGTTTGCATTTCTTCTTAACTGATCTCATTACTTCCTGATGTTGTTTCATGCTTACAAGTACGCTTAGGAGGATTATGTTTCATGCAGAGAAACTAAAATGTTTACTGCATCACCTGACATTTTCGGAAGGTAAAATTAAAAATCTTTGGTTTACCGAAAGCAGTTTGTGAGCTTTTTAATCGAACGTAGACTTACCAAGTACAAAAAGAATAGCAGACTTAAACTCCTCACACCCGGAAACGGGTTTTTAAGATGCCTCGCTGAATATATCTGCAAGAATTCACCCCCTAAAATGGCATGCCCTCCTGTGGGAATGAGTGGCTGGTTCCTTAAGTCCCCGGGGACGGGAGTGAGCAAGGAGGAAGATACAGCAGGCCCACCACGAGACACCCTGGGCGCCAGAGAGTGGCCCCTCACCCAGCAAGCAGACCACTGGTCAAGGCACAGGACGCCACCCCTCACCCACCACCAATTTTCAAAGGGGACGGCAGGTCAAGCACCTTACCCGGATGGCTCCTGTAGGCTCCTGGCGAATTGTCCAGGATGACTATGCTGGACAGGTCGTTATGGACGACGGAAAGGTCTTTGATGTAACTGCCCAGCTCCAAAGTGCAGTGCTGGAAGGAGAGAGAGAGGAGAGGGAGTTGTGGGGTGTATGTTTGCAACACAGGACAGAAATAGCAATCCTCTCTTAAACTGGACGGGGCTGCAGCTTGGCGGTGGCGGGCGGGAGACTTGTGGAAGTCAGCTGGTAAGTTCGCCACACCTGAAGCCGTGTGGTGGTTCAGCAGAAGATGCAGAGCCCCAGCCGAGTCTTCAGATTTCCTGCTCCCAGCAGAAACGGCTTCTTCCAGAGTCCCACGTTTAAGGGGAAATCTCTTCTCCCGCACTGTTCGAAGTGTTCGTTATTTCCAGGCACAAGGCAAAGCTAAACACCACTATGGACTTTATACAGTTCTTCTGGTCTTTGAAGTAAAGATGCTTATGTACGGAGAGATCCGCTAACGCTATCACCCTGCTAGCTGACGCTGCTGTGTGAAACCCACAGCCTCCTCCCCTGACTCTCACAGATTCAGAGTCGGACCCTGACAGCAAAGCAGGAGAGCATCAGGACAGGACCTCACATAATGGAAGAAATGCCCCGGAGACTATTATGCCCGTCTCTGCATCCCTGAACCAATGGGAGGGTGAGCAACTCAGCCAGTCAAGCGCACGACCTTGCTGGCGTTGCTATAGTAACCCCAGTGCACCTGGTACCCTTCTCTCAGAACATCCAGGTGTGCCCCTCATTTGGGAGCAAGCAAGCCGAGGCGAGGAGCCTTCCCTCCGAGCCACTGCTATATCACCAGGGTGGACCCTTCTTCTCCCTACTCCACAGGCTGTTTCACAGCCGTAAGGGGCAAAGGACTCACCTGTCTGTAGTATCTCCTCTTGAGGATGCTCCTATTATTGTCTAGCTTGTCGGCCACAGCAGAGCCATATATTTCCATGCTGGCCGTGAAGACCACCAGCTCATACCACTGGCTCACCTGAGTTGGTGGGAGGGGGAGAAGAAAAGGAAACAGAGGGGAAGTCAGAGGGGAGCTCCCTTTCTCCTTCACACACAAAAAGCCCCTTTCACTCTCGTAGGCAGATGAAAGCCCCACATTTGGGCAACTTTCACCCGCACATCATCCAAGTTAAGACTTTCAGGAAACGCCATCAAATCTCCCCAAATCTCCCACGCCCTCCCAATACAGATTACATTTAAGCATCACTTAAAACTTGTTGGTCTGAAAAGCAATTTATGAAGGGATTGTGGCACGGTTATTACCCCAGCCCCTCCAAAGAATGACAGCCAGGCAGAGAGCAGCAGGCACCCATTATTAGTCCTGCAGAAGCACCCCCTTCCGTTCTCAGCCCTTAACGGAAGAAGCTGCTTCCTGCTCAGAGCTCCTATCGACCTGCAACAAGAGCCTTGTGGTGCTTTTGGGGGCTTTCAGTGAACAACTCTTCCTCTTTCCCAGCCTTCTCCCCTCTGGCAGCTTCTCAGGTTCCGGCCAGCCCTCACACCATCAAGTCTAAAGCTAAGTAATGATGGCACAAGGCAAGCCTCCCTGGGGAGAGCATTACACAAGTGCGGAGCCACCACTAAAAAAGGCCCTGTTCTTGTGTCGCCACCCTCCGCAACACCCGTGACGCAGGACCTCAGGGGATAGTTGCAGCGTCTGGGTTGGTGCATGTGCTTTTATGCATTCTATGCTTTGCACCCTTCCCTGGATTTGACGGAGATGTTGACTAGCCTTAGTAAACAAAGCAAAGCTCCAGGGGCCTGCTTCAAATTTTCCGAGTTTCCGGGAAGAAGGGGGAAGAGAGAAAGTGAAGAGGGAAGGGACGACTAGCCTAAAGAAGCTGGGACAAATTGCTTTGAGCAGGATTAATGCGGATTAGGCTAAACAGGTGCCGGCGATTAGAGGCAAGGCTGGCTGATCCAGTCGGGTCTGGGAACAGCTCTCCACCCTTGAACCAGACAAGGCAAGGGTGGAGCAGGACAGAATGGATTTAGCACACCACCTCCTCCTCTCCCAGGCAGAGCTGGCTCTGGGAAGATCCATCCCTGGGCGTGTGCATCACACGGAAGTCCACCCAAGTTCAAGACATTTCCGGGTGATGCGCGTGGGCAACACACAACACGTCTTCCCAGTTGCCCTGGCCGCTACTCTCCCTCCCTGCCCCCATGTCACTACACCACCCTCCAAGTAAACTTTTCCCAAGCTGGAACCCTCTCCGTGTTTGGGACTACAACTCCCATCAGCCCCTGCCAACAGGCGCTGACGGACAGGCATGGTGGAGGACAGAGTCCTTCAACATCGGCAGTGTGCTGGGTTGCTCATACCTGCTTGGCAGTTTCTCCACGGAGCTCAGTGAGGGGAGCAGGATAGGCCTCCCAACATAGTTCAGCTCAAGAGCATGAAGCTGAGAGGCCTGGAAAGCCCCCTCTGGACTGGAGGAGCACGCCCAGCGAATCAGTGGCAGTGCAGCGGTCACAGTTGTGGGTTCAAATCCACCTTGGCCACATGAAGCACGCCGGGGTGAACTTGCAGGCCGGTTGCTATCGCTCAGTCTAACCTACTTTTTGCAGGGTTGTTGTGACGATAAAAAAATAGAGGGGCGGAGAATTGGCACGTCTTGGTCTCCTTGAAGGAAAGCTGGGATAGCAATGTTCTGCAGACACACAGCTCTGCTTCTCCTTTACATCTGCAGGTGTGGGAGTGGATGTGCTGGACTGATGTCTTGCCTCAGTAATGGACTGGAGGAGAGCCAATAAACTGAAGCTCAATCCAGACTGAGGTACTATTAGGGGACTGTTTCCTAGACTGGATGGATGGGAGGCGGCCTGCTCTTGAGGGGGGTTACACTCTCTCTGAAGGAGCAAGTATGCAGCTTGGGGGTCCTTCTAGATCAGGGGTAGGCAATCTAAGGCCCAGGGGCCGGATGCGGCCCAATTGCCTTCTCAAGCCGACCCACGGACGGTCCAGGAATCAGCATGTTTTTACATGAGCAGAATGTGTGCTTTTATTTAAAATGCACCTCTGGGTTATTTGTGGGGCATAGGAATTCGTTCATATTTTTTTTCAAAATAAAGTCCAGCCCCCCACATGGTCTGAGGGATGGTTGACTGGCCCACAGCTGGAAAAGGTTGCTGACCCCTGTTCTGGATCCTTTCCCTTCCATCCACTACGGCTGGTGGCCCAGCTGCACCCCTATCTGGACTGGGACAGCCTAACCTCTGTTGTCTATGCTCTGGTAACCTACAGGTTAGATTACTGCAATGCGTTATACATAGGGTTGCCCCTGAAGGCGGTCTGGAAGCATCAGCTGGTGCAGAATTCAGCAGCCAGGTTGTTCACTGGACCTAGGATTCTTTGAGCCTTTGGAAGACACAAGATTTACCCACCAGGGAAGAATGGCAGGTGAAGTTGATGGACTATATGGAACTGGCGGAAATGACTGGCAGAATCCGAGACCAGGGAGAGGAGTCGGTGGAAGAAGATTGGGAAAAGTTTAAAGACTATTTACAGAAATATTGTAAAATTAATGAATGTTAGAAGGATGCTGGAATGAAGTGATATGGCTTCAGTAGAAAGGTTATAAGGAATTAAGTATAAATAGATTAATAGAGTATTAATGGAAAAATAAGGTTAAAATGTGTTAAGATAATTATAGGACAGAAAACAGGGGAAGATGGACAGAAATTGCTGAAATAATTAATAGAGGTGGAATACAAAAAGGGAGGCATGAGGAGGTCGTGGAAATATGTGAAAGAAAGATAAGACACTGAAATTTCTTTTTCTTTTTTTTCTCTTTTTCTTTTTTGATGTGTTTTTAAATTGTTTTTGTTTTGTCTTGTTAGTTTTTAGTGTTAGGTAGCGTCTTTGTATTGTAATGTATTGTTTTTTCTTTGGTTTTTTTTCTGTAAGTGTTTAAATTGTTGCAAAAGTAATAAATATTTTTATTTTTTTTAAAAAGGATGCTTTGAGCCTATAACGCCAATCCTGGCCCGATTGCACTGGCTGCCAATTAGTTTCTGGGCCCAATTAAAAGTGCTGCTTTTGACCTATAAAGTTTTAAACAGTTCTGGAGCGCATCTCCCCATATAAACCAACAGATCATCCTCTGAGGCCCTTCTTCAAATGCCCCATCCACAAGAGGTCCAGAGGGTGGCAACACGAAAACGGGGCCTTTTCTGCGGTGGCTCCCCACTTGAGGAATGCTCTCCCCCAGGGAGGCTTGCCTGGCACCTTTGTCACATATATTTAAGTCCCAGGCAAAAACGTTCCTCTTCTGCCTGGCTACTGATTAATTAAACAATCTATGGCCTTTTAAACTGGGGGGGGGGGTATTTTGTTGTCGTCGCCATCATTGTATGCATTTTTGTGCGTTTATATTGTAGACCGCCCTGGGATCTTCGGATGAAGGGTGGTTTAGAAATTTAATAAATAATAACAATAATGGCAATGTTATACAGTGGTACCTCAGGTTAAGTACTGTATTTTTTGCTCTATAAGACTCACTTTTTCCCTCCTAAAAAGTAAGGGGAAATGTGTGTGCGTCTTATGGAGCGAATGCAGGCTGCGCAGCTATCCCAGAAGCCAGAACAGCAAGAGGGATCGCTGCTTTCACTGCACAGCGATCCCTCTTGCTGTTCTGGCTTCTGAGATTGAGAATTTTTTTCTTCTTGTTTTCCTCCTCCAAAAACTAGGTGCGTCTTGTGGTCTGGTGCGTCTTATAGAGCAAAAAATATGGTACTTATTCGTTCCGGAGGTCCGTTCTTAACCTGAAACTGTTCTTAACCTGAAACACCACTTTAGCTAATGGGGCCTCCTGCTGCTGCCACACTGCTGGAGCACAATTTCTGTTCTCATCCTGAAGCAAAGTTCTTAACCTGAGGTACTATTTCTGGATTAGCAGAGTCTGTAATCTGAAGTGTATGTAACCCGAGGTACGACTGTAATCAATAAAAATAAATAAATAAAAGATCAGTCTCGCACACAAGCTTCTTACCACTTCTAGGAAAAAGTCCACGTGAGGCCTCTTGTGTACAAAAAAGCGGACTGGATGTTTGTCTATGACAACCTGGAAACAGAGGAAGGCCTTTTAGTCAAAGCCTGGCAAAATAAAGTCCAGAGCCTTCCTGGTGCTGTGGACTACAACAGCCGGAGGATGGGGTTGATGGGAGTTGTAGTCCAACACCACCACGAAATCGGCAGGTTGGTGAAGATAACTGACAGACGAGTACGTTTCCGAGCACCATTCAAAGTGTTGGTGCTGACCTTGAAAGCCCTAAACGGCCTCAAAGGCCCAGGAGACTTGAAGGAGCGTCTCCACCCCCATCGTTCTACCCAGACGCTGAGGTCCAGCTCCGAGGGGCTTCTGGCGGTTCCCTCCCTGCGAGAAGCCAAGTTACAGGGAACCAGGCAGAGGGCCTTCTCGGTGGTGGCGCCCGCCCTGTGGAACCCGCCCTCCCACCAGATGTCAAAGAGAACAACTACCAGACTTTTAGAAGACATCTGAAGGCAGCCCTGTTTAGGGAAGCTTTTAATGTTTGATGTTTTATCGTGTTTTTAATATTTTGTTGGAAGCCACCCAGAGTGGCTGGGGAAGCCCAGGCAGATGGGTGGGATATAAATAAATTATCATCATCATCATCATCATCATCATTATCATTTTAAGGCTCCGTAGCTGCCTCTGATCCTCAAAAAACGAGGCCAAACTCAATCCCCAGTGGCTAGCGTGGGTTGCTGTGGGAACTTCAGGGCTTCACCTAAGCCAAGGCAGCTGCTTTCTGAAGCCAGGAAAACAGCCCTGGACACGTGAAGAATGCAGACTGGCTGGTGCAGATCCTCTGCGATGGCTGCGCCACCGCAAACTGGCTAAAGGTTGCAAACCCTCCCTGCTTTACCTTCCGGAGGCCAAGAGGGCCGCCTCCTCCCTTGAGCCTACACACCTGCTGTCACTGGCGTGTGCAGGTCAGTAACCACAGAGTTCAGAGATGGAGTTAACTCTTTGTTAGCTAAGAAGCAGGATCTCCACAGACTTGGCTGAGTGTCAGTCTCAGGCCTAATGAGCAAAACAGCTCGTTCCCAGGAGTCTTCCTCCATGAAAACTAGTGGCAGAGACTGAAAGTCGCCTCCTCTCCCCAGGGCTTTCCCCCAAGCAATCAGAGACAATATACAGTGGTGCCTTGCAAGACGAAATTAATCCGTTCCGCGAGTCTCTTCGTCTTACGGTTTTTTCGTCTTGCGAAGCACGGCTATTAGCGGCTTAGCGGCTTTAAGAAAAAGGAAACAAACTTGCAAGAACTCGCAAGACATTTCGTCTTGCGAAGCAAGTCCATAGAGAAATTCGTCTTGTGGAACGACTCAAAAAACGGAAAACCCTTTCGTCTAGCGAGTTTTTCGTCTTGTGAGGCATTCGTCTTGCGGGGCACCACTGTACCGTATTTTTCCGTGTATCAGATGAGATTTCTTGACTCAAAAATCATGTCGAAAAACTGGGGTCGTCCTATACACTGATACTGGTGTGAGGGGGAAGCTGCGCCCCCTGCCAGCTGGTTTGCGGACGCGCAACTCCCCCGCCCCCATGTCGCTGCGGGACGCGCACGCTCTAGGGAGCAGTTTCCCGCAGCGGCGTGGAGGGGAAGCTGTGCCTGCCAGCCAGCTGGTTGGCAGCCCGTGCTCTAGGGAGCTTCCTGCCCACAGTGGCATGGGGGGAGCGGCTGCCCCTAGCAACGGCCTTGCTGGGATGATGGCGTGTGTGCAACTCCCCCTAATAAAAAGCTCAACAACACTTTGAGCCATCTCCCCTCATTTTCTTTAAATTTAGTCCCCCAAAATAGCAGGGCGTCTTATACATGGGGGCGTCTTATACACCGAGAAATACACTGGTGCCCCGCAAGACGAATGCCTCGCAAGACGAAAAACTCGCTAGACGAAAGGGTTTTCCGTTTTTTGAGTCGTTCCGCAAGACAAATTTCCCTATGGGCTTGCTTCGCAAGACAAAACATCTTGCGAGTTCTTGCGAGTTTGTTTCCTTTTTCTTAAAGCCACTAAGCCGTTGATAGCCGCTAAGCCGCTAATAGCCGTGCTTCGCAAGACAAAAAAACCGCAAGACGAAGAGACTCGCGGAACGGATTAATTTCGTCTTGCGAGGCACCACTGTACAGTGTGTGAATCGTCAACCTCTCCTCCACCCTCTTCAGGTTCTGGAGACAAGGGTGGAGAGGAGCTGTGACTCTCCACCTGCCTCCTGGGCTCCCACCCTAAGCCCTGTTACCCCTTCGGCTTCCGACACCTCCTCCTCCCAGTTTCCTCGCTCCTGACCACTCATCATCATCCCACCACCAATCCCCGGGCTCTGAGCCTTCTTCTCTGGGTCCATTCCTCTGTGTCCAACCAGCCCCTGCTATCTGTGCCCCCGCGCCCAGCTCCTCCTGCACCCGAGAACGGCTCACCTTAAGGATGAAGTCGGGCGGAGTGCCAGGCCTCACTGTGGGCCGCAAGACTCCGTCGTGATGGGAGTGGATCAGCGTCTCGTCCAGGTCCAGCACAAGGATCTTCCTCTTCACCTGGTCTGGTGGAGGTGGGGAGAGGAGTGTCAAGACAAACAGATCAGTGCCCTACACACCTCCCTCCTTCCAGTGCTCTGGGGAGAGCCTGGGCCAGGGGGAGGGAACCAGGGAGGACCCCCCCCACCCTCCACGGGGCAATGTACTTACTGAGGCGCTCCCGTGAAACTTTGGAAAGGGGAAGAATGTCGTAGCGCACCGTCTGATACTGGATCACCTGCCGGACAGACAAAGGTAAAGGGGGGGGAGTTTATAAAGGGTGGGCCAGAGAGAACACCTGAAGGGCCAGTGTTAGAAATTAGGCAGGTGCCAGGCGCATTTTGCAACCAGCACTGGTCCAATGGAAGCCCTGTGGAGATCTCTGGACGCCAGGTTAGCGACAGACATTTCCATCTGGCTGGCCCCTCGAACTTTCTTAAGCAGGTGAGCTCATTTCTTGCATTTGTCTCCCACCTTTTCCTCCAAGGAATACATGGTTCGCCCCGCTCATCAGTTAATCACCACAACGACTCTGTGAGGTAGGTGAAGAGGCCGCGACTGACTCCAAGGTCACTCAGGACTGTGCGAGGATTCGAACCCGGAACTCCCAGGACCTCGTCTGACACACTCACCACTGCAACCACCCTGACTTCCTAGAATCCTTCTACTATGGGGCAGCTCTATAAATTAAGCGGGTAAATAAATATGGGGGGAGCAAAATGTCACATAGAGAAGCATCTGAAATATTTTCCTTGATGCTTGAATTTATTTTATTCAGGATTGGTTGACTGGATGTAAAACACTTTGAGATATATGTAAAATGGTATAAAGGTAAAGGGACCCCTGTCCATTAGGTCCAGTCGTGATGGACTCTGGGGTTGCGGTGCTCATCTCGCTTTATTGGCTGAGGGAGCCGGCGTACAGCTTCAGGGTCATGTGGCCAGCATGACTAAGACGCTTCTGGCAAACCAGAGCAGCACATGGAAACGCTGTTTACCCTCCCGCCGGAGTGGTACCTATTTATCTACTTGCACTTTGACGTGCTTTCGAACTGCTAGGTTGGCAGGAGCAGGGACCGAGCAACGGGAGTTCACTCCGTCGCGGGGATTCAAACCGCTGACCTTCTGATCGGCAAGTCCTAGGCTCTGTGGTTTAACCCACAGCGCCACCCGCATCCCTTGTAAAGCAGTATAGAAATGAAATTAATAATAATTTGCACTGCATGAACAAAATAGCGCCTAGACATTCTCTTGTGGTGACCATAGCTGAGGTTTAAGGTGCCCTTTGGCAATTAGTTTATACAGTGGTACCTCGCAAGACGAATGCCTCGCAAGACGGAAAACCCGCAAGACGAAAGGGTTTTTTGTTTTTTGAGCTGCTTCGCAAGACGATTTTCCCTATGGGCTTGCCTCGCAAGACGGAAACATCTTGCAAGTTTGTTTCCTTTTTCTTAACATCGACTTCGAGGAGCAACTCATAGAACGTGGTGTGGTAGCCTTTTTTGAGGTTTTTAAAGACTTTGGTGATTTTTGAAGCTTTTCCAAAACTTTCCCGACACCGTGCTTCGCAAGACGAAAAAAATCGCAAGACGACAAAACTCGCGGAACGAATTAATTTCGTCTTGCGAGGCACCACTGTACATATGAATTTCTAACAATGCAGAAGGCAGGATACTCAGGCCAGAAGAGCTGGATTTCAAGAGAGGCTATCTGACCTTGCCTGCATCACCTCCCTAACCAAGCTGCTTATTCCAGGCCCAGCTGAGAGAGGCAGTTGTCACTGCTGATACTAACAGCCTCCAGGATACCTTTGTGACTGACACTTTCCACCTTTGCAGGTTTAGGACTTTTTAAAAGGAAAACCCCGCAGCAACCAGGCTTGCACCTGGCGCTTAGCTGTTTTGAAAGCCGACTCCCTCTTCCTATTTCCAAGGAAACCGATATGAACTGGGCAGCCTGGCCACTGGCTCATTTCTGCTGAATTCTGCTCAGCAGGAAAAGGGTGTCACTCCAAACAGCTTGGAAAGGAGAAGCTGGGTGAACCGTGCAGGGCAAGGCCTTATGGGGCAAGGAGCAGGCTGTGTGTTCGCCACACATTTGAGGAGCTCGCTGGACGTGACCAAAGGAGCCAGCCATAGCCTCCCTCAGGCTAGCCTACCTCTCAGGGGTGTTGCTGCAGGGATTAAATTGGCACGGGGAGAAAGAGAGAGCCATATACGCCACCTTGGAAGAGAGGGTATAAATGCAACAAGTGACAAAACAAAGTTAGAGCCACCAGAGTATTCTGGACCAGCAGAAACATTATACAGAGAATCCCGCAAGCTAATAATAATAATAATAAATTTTATTTATACCCCGCCCTCCCCGGCCACAGCAGGGCTCAGGGTGGCTAACACCAGTAAAATTACAGTAAAAACATAACAGAGGGGGGGGGAACCAATTTAAAATACAAGTTAAAATGCAATTTAAAATGCAGCCTCATTTTAAAAGTAGCCCATAGATCAAAACCATAAGGGGAGGGAAACATAAGGGTCAGACTGAGCCCAGACCAAAGGCCAAGCAGAAAGATGTCAAGTCCCGCAGGGCCCTGGTCTCTTGGGACAGAGCGTTCCACCAAGTCGGGGCCAGTGCTGAAAAGGCCCTGTCCCTAGCTGAGACCAATCTAACCACCTTGCGACTGGGGACCTCCAAAGTGTTGTCATTTGTGGACCTTAAGGTCCTCCGCAGGGCATACCAGGAGAGGCGGTCCCGTAGTTCTCCAAGTTCTCAGGTATCCTCCCCACACACCCTCAAACTCCCGCTCACTTCTCTTGCCAAAAGACCTTCCGTCCTTTGGATTTGTTTTTTTAAAGGGCCAGAACAAAAGAAGCTGCCTTGTACCAGTTTGGCCTATTTGTCCACGGGGCCTAGTACCACCTGCTCTGACTGGCAGAGGCAGACCGTTCCCGTCACCTTCCGGCAGAGATCCTTTTAGCAGAAGGCGACCCCGGGGATAAAACCTTCTGCATGCCAAGCAGTTGCCCTGCCGCCGAGCCAAGGGCCCTCTCCTTAAACGGAGAGCAGTGAAGGGACTGAGCTCTGAACCAAAAGGCCTGCATGAAGAGAGTCACTTTTGCCCTGAGCAAATTCATTTAGGCAAGTCGAAATCCCCAGTCTCTGTCCCAGCCGGTGGGAGGAGAACCCTGACCCAACCTCCAAGGTTGCCATTAAGGAAGGATTCTTGGCGCAAGGCGAGTGAAACCCTCTGGACGCTCAAAACGCTCTGACTGCATTCCAGGTGTGACGAAGTTCACCTGGTGGCGGTGCCTGGCACTCCAGCACCACCACCGGAGTCCATAGCTGTCAACGTTTCCCTTTGTTATTTAACCTAAATCCCGCTACCTGTCCAAACTCCTGTATTAGCTCCAGTGCTTTTACTGCACTGGATTCTGGGTCTTGTAATGTCAATACTAAATTATCAGCAAAGGCTTTTAACTTCTATTGTTTGGATCCTACTGTAATACCTTTAATTTGTTCATCTTTTCTAATCATACTTAGCAAGTCCTCTAGGACTGAAATAAACAGCAGAGGGGAAAGTGGGCACCCTTGTCTGGTTCCCTTCTCAATTCTAATTTCCTCCGATACCACATTCTTTACAATGATTTTAGCTTTATGTTCTTGATAGATCGCTTTAATACCATTTAAAAAATCTTGACCAACCCCCATACTCTCAAAGTTATATAACATAAAACTCCAGGATACATTGTCAAAGGCCTTCTCAGCGTCAATAAACATTAACATTGCTTTGCAGCTCTTTCTTGCTTCCAACTTTTCCAATATATCCACAACATTTCCCTTTTTTAAAGGGAAATGCCCTTATTCCAAATAGGATTCCTTGCAAGAAAAGGGAAAAGTTGACAGATATGCACTGGACCTGCCTCAGAGGCCAGGAAGGTAGCCCGATTGCTGTCTGACTGATCAACAGACCACTTAGCAGCCAGAAGCTATCATCAAAGCGGTGAAAAGGGGGAAAGGATTACACACCAGAAGTCGTTTCTACCATTGTACAGTTAAAATGCCGCCATCTACCTTTGGGGAATCGTAGAACCTTAGTGTGGGAAGGGACCCTGAGGCTCATCTAGTCCAACCCGCTGCAATGCAGGAATCTCAACCCCAACTCCATAGTTACGAGGCAGGAACACTTCACAATGCCAGATGTTGGAGACCACAGAGTGGGGAGAGTGCTCGTATATGGGGATCCGAACCCCTGTCTCCCAGGCCACAGTTCAGCACTCTAACCCAGTGTTTCCCAACCAGTGTTCCGCGGCACACCAGTGTGCCGTGAGACCTTGCCTGGTGTGCCGTGGGAGGGAGGCGGGAGAGGCGGGGCGGCGGCGGCATCTCCTGCTGGATGCAAATCCAAACATGGCGGGCGCCTCCCTCGCTCCTTTGTAGGCGGACCATCGAGAGAGAAAGAAAAGGAGGCAAAAGAGCGAGAGAAGGCGCCTGCGCGGAAAGAGGAGCGAGCAGTGCGCTGCCCCCGGACCTCTTTTGAAGCAAGGGGCTGCGGGGAGATCGCTTCTCCCGGTGCTCCGAAGCGGGGCGGGGGGCGGGAACCTGCAGCGCGGAGCGCGGGGCGCCCTTTGGAGGACGCCCCGTGCTTCGCGCAGCTGTCCGCAAGCCTTGGGCGCCTGGGGGAACTCCCCCCCGGCGCGCAAGGCTTGCGGGCGGCAGCCTGCAGCACGGAGCGAGGGGCGCCCTTTGGAGGACGCCCCGTGCTTCGCGCAGCTGTCCGCAAGCCTTGGGCGCCTGGGGGAACTCCCCCCCCGGCGCGCAAGGCTTGCGGGCGGCAGCCCGGAGCGCGGGGCGCCCTTTGGAGGACGCCCCGTGCTTCGCGCAGCTGTCCGCAAGCCTTGGGCGCCTGGGGGAACTCCCCCCCGGCGCGCAAGGCTTGCGGGCGGCAGCCTGCAGCACGGAGCGAGGGGCGCCCTTTGGAGGACGCCCCGTGCTTCGCGCAGCTGTCCGCAAGCCTTGGGCGCCTGGGGGAACTCCCCCCCCGGCGCGCAAGGCTTGCGGGCGGCAGCCTGCAGCGCGGGGCGCCCTTTGGAGGACGCCCCGTGCTTCGCGCAGCTGTCCGCAAGCCTTGGGCGCCTGGGGGAACTCCCCCCCCGGCGCGCAAGGCTTGCGGGCGGCAGCCCGGAGCGCGGGGCGCCCTTTGGAGGACGCCCCGTGCTTCGCGCAGCTGTCCGCAAGCCTTGGG